AACCTTTCAGGTACGTCCTCCAGTTCATGTCGCGTGTAGTTGGACTGACGAGTTGAAATGCAGCCACGCTCAACCTTCAGCAATGATTCGACCACCTCTAATTGAATCGTTCAGTCGAATATTCTTGATCGAATCTTTGCACAACATCGTATTTTGTATTCGTATTTACTTTGTATTTGTATAATGTCATCTGATCCCCCTCCCAGCTCCCATTGTGCTCTTGTTTTATGCATTCGGAATTGAGTTCCGAAAAACGCACCTCGTGAGACAGCGAGACGCGGTTACGCGTCACACAAATCGCGACCGCCAATGCGGCTCATGTCCCACGAGGTGAAAAAGGGTAAACGTGCGCTGTTGTCGAGTGTTAGCAATGCCTACCTACAAATACAGCAAAGACAAACTAGTCACACGTTGACGACAATGTGCTTTTGGGTTTTTGCGCCAGCGTCGGACCAGGGCGATTTTGCTGGCGCCGCCGCCTCACATATCCGTGGATTTTGAGCTATATATATCTATATACAGGGGTGGCCAAAAAAAGAGACACTTCACTCCACATTTCAGACAGCATTAATCACACTTTGCTAAAATCAAATCGACTGCCCCAACTCAGTATTGAAGAGCACATTCTAATCTATCTAAACCTTACATGACAGCCTTCTACACCGACGACATCAGAAGATTTTCCCACGGAAACATGGTTCACGGTACGAGCTCAACGAGGTCGTCGAGGTACCATAGACCATTACGACGTCCCTGAAACGCTGGTCAAAAGCGGTTTTGCATAGTCACAGCTAATGTCTCTGGGAAGCTATTCACAGTTAATCATTGAAGAAATTATGTAGCAGCTTCAGGCCGGAGCGATTACGGTAAGCCTCGTTGAGCTCGACGGTGGCGGCAGATGACGTCATATTCTGAAGACGGCGGGGCAGTGAAGGAGGGCCTGCTTCTGTTTACGGGGGAACACCTAAGGAATATTTCGCCGTAAAACTTTCATTAACATCGGCTCCCTGTGCGACGAAAAGTTCGATGATGTGCGCCATGGGCAAAGTGTCTCTTTTTTTTGGCCACCCCTGTATATATGTATAAGTTGCCAATACTGGAACTTCGCTCCATAACTTCAAGAGGAAAAAGGTTCTTGACTTCGTGTTGACCGCATTTTACAAAGAGATGTTTCCCAATAACAATGCGAGAAGATGACCGTGGTTGGCAGCTGAGGGCCTCTCTGAAACCGGACATCCACTGAGAAAAAGTCGTGCTACGGTGTGGTGGAACAGTATAAGACTGGCCTACTATGGAGAGCTGATTGTGGGTCAGACAGTTACAGCTGAAGCCTGCGCACAACAGCCCGCCCGCGTGGACCGAGCTCTGCGTCGTCAAGGGGTGAATTCGGCCAATGTAAAACTATTGCACATAACGGAAGACCACATGTCGTGAAAATCACGCAACAAGAAATCGAGGAGTTGGGCTGGGACGCTCTACCTCTCAGCGCCATATAGCCCAGGTCTGGCGCCGTCCGACTATCACTGACCCAGGTCAGCGCAACACTCCTTAGCAGCAAACCAATTCGATAACCGCGACGACGTCAAAATTTGAGTGCCCAACTTCTTCGAGTCGAACCAGAAAGAGTTCTACGCGGTAGGCATCCATGCTTTGCGTAACGAAAGGTGATGACACAGGTGAAGGAGATGGTTCAGGTTGATGTGCTTCATTATTGTTTTTATAATGAAAATAATTGATGATCGAAAACGACATTTCAATCGGCCAACCTACAAGAAGATTTCTTCTACCTCACAGTTGTTGGAATGCTTGATTTGTTCAGTATTACTGGCAGCAGACTCTTCGCTTCGAGTGTGCATGCACTCGCTCGTGCTCAGCAAGTTGAAGAAAATTGAACAAGTATATAGGTTGCATCCGTCACCCCACTCTCCGAACGCTCTCATTGTTAGAATCGGCTAATGTTGTGACCCTGGCCTGACGTTATTCGCATTTGTTTACATTTCCTCATTCCACGCATTGCGGCTTCTACTAAACGCCTATCCCCCCACTCTTCCGTCGGCCAAATACGGCCCCCACATTGGACTTGGTGCAACGGCCGCGACCCTGGCTTCAGGTGCTGACCAAAACAGTGGGTTCGTCTGATTGGAGCGAATCAAATTCATTCATCTTTTTCAACATATTCGATGTCGATTTCTAAATGTAGTTCGTTATGTTCCTCTTTACTGAGCCCGATGAGAACTCCACGAGAGGGAAGAACTCTTCTCTGCATTTTTGAGATATTTTTGAAGTCATCTATTGAAGACTCATCCTACTGGGTGCAAAGGTAACCTCAAAGGTGCTTTATCAACAATCACCAGCATGATAAGACCAATACCGTATTTCTGCATGAATGCGATGGCAATCTTCCGAAGCAGATAACCGAATTCATTGAACGGTATGGAACTTACCCTGATTGCCAGTTGTGACACGACGTACTTGATCTTGATTCACACTCGGTGATTTGGTGGATTACGCGCTTGCTTCGGGGTCAGAAATTTCTTGAAATAACCATGAGGCATTGTTATTGTTTATATTGTTTGTTAGTTTTTGTGCCTCTCGAGGTTGGTCGGTGGAAAATTTGTTAAAGACGGCCTAACGTTTCGACTTGATCGTCGTCTTCGGAGGCCTGAATGTGGTTCAAAGTTTAAATTTACGCACTAATCGACCAAGCGCCTCGACTTCTCCAGCGGTTCCGACATTATGCTAAGAACCACAAAGAGAATCCCGAGCAATATGAGAAAAACTCACCCTGGTTCCACCGTTTGTGCGGAGAAATCCGCTACCACACTTTAGCGTTGACTAGTAGCAAGTAACACATACCATGTGGTCTCCTGATATTAGTGAAAGAAGGGAGACGCACTCGAAGACGCTTCACGTCATTCTACAGCTCGCAGAGTAGCGTAAACGGTGAAAGATCACTAGTTACTGACGGCCGCTCATCTCATTTGTTCACCGCTGGATTTTTGCGCAATTCCAGAATGCTTTCAGGACTCTTTCCGTCTCATGCGCCAATACCGTGCACTTAATTTCGAATTCAACGCCATCATGCTCTTCGATCTTGTGCCTCCATGAGATTTATATGAACAAAAAAAAAACATTATTTGACGTAGCATGGCAGATATTCAAGAAGGATGTGCTCAACAACGGAAAGAAAGTGATGATGAGTGGAAAAACAGAAAGCAACAGTGCAAACTTAAGTGCGAAAGCATTCAAGAAATGGGGTTAAGTAACCTCCATGCTGCACTCATCAGTGAAGTGGTGAACAAAAACGGTAATACAAAAAATAAAAATTCGGAAAAAAAAACAGGAAAACAGTGGTTGTTGAACAAAAACCGGTTGGCAAGGCATTTGCGTGTACAGGCGTAATCCCGAGACCCGAGAAAATCAAGAAAAAAACTGAAAGGAATCTGTAATAAAAATAAAACGACAACAGTTAACCAAGAATTTTATATGGTGCTGAAAATGTCTTTGGACAAATCTGGGCTCAGATTTGGAGCATTTCTCGGCTCTGGTCCAAAGCCAAGATCACCGATGAACCTGGAAAGGACTCATAAGGGTCTAACTGCAAAGGAGAATGGCGCACGCTACTCACCGTTCACCATCTGACATCTTTAAGCCGCAAGGACGACGGAATTCGTTCCCTCTTTCGTGCACCCACTTATTCGTGACCTTAAATAGACTTCATTTGTTCAGGGATCTGAACACACTGAGGAACGCGCAGCTTTACCCATTTCACTCCAAGCAGCACTGGACATGCAGCATGGCGAGTCCTTGTGTCACCGTCTCCTGTCTTGAGCAGATTGTACCAAAACAGAGCATCGTTCTGAAAAATTCTTCCCTTATCTCGAACATTGATACCATTTGCATCACCCATGAGGAATCTCACGGAGTAAAATATGCAAGCCATTTTTGCGAGAGAAAAAAAACTACTTCACGTTGGGAGCCAATTTTGAAAAAGGAAAGGGAGGATTAAGATTGGAAAATTTAGAGCAATGCTCCCATTGCCAAGATGACGGGTCATGACAGTCACACGACTTGTGGGCATAGGAATGAGTTCATTGCTAGAAACAAATCAAAAGCGAGTGTTGGCCAACCTTTGTAGGGAGTACGGCCGACTTGACATCGGTGAAGACAGTTCCACCACCATACGTAGGTTCCGTCATCT